AGTCTAAACCCCAACGTCTTACCTTGTACTCATGTACGAGGGAGGCTTCTAAAGTAACACCACGAGAATTACCACAAAGGTGAGGTAGAGGGAGTATAGGAATTGGGAGTAGTCGGGAGAGGGGCAAGGCAAGGGCTGACTCTGCATTCACCTGATCTTGTCTTCACGTGGAATCAGGCGTCTGCAAAGCATAGCAATGAACAACGTCTAAAAAACTGGCTTAGAGGTGGTTGGATGACTTACAAGTCAGATCACTAAGCTGACACCGCTGTGGGCCTGGATTCAAATACAGGTTCCTGCGTTCGAATCCAGGTTCTATTTGCCCGTGTGTACACTGCCTTGTGTGTTTAGTTTGTTGTCCTTCACCCGCACCGCCGATGAGCACGGTTGGCTACGTACGGTGCGAAAGAAGTTCAAAATAATACATAAATCAAGTTTTCAGTGAGTAGCCAGTTGATCACCAAAACAAACCCATCAAATACAATTCGGTTATTCCCTTAATGTGGTGTACTGCAGCTCTGTGAATTCAACATCTTGGTTTGATTGCGATACGACGATCAGTCTTTGCAGCGCATTTCAAACACGTGTCCTTCGTTGTGAGTGTATGTCAATGAAGGGACATCAGAAGAAGGTCTGTGACATGACCTTCCATGGGGTTTTCACTGACACAGGATGGTGCACTTAGATCTGCTAAAGACACCGGTTGAAGCTTCTTCATCTCACGATGAAGCCTCTCGAGATGCCCTCTCTCGGGGCTCTCCCGTGGGCATGAAGGAGGCCTTCTCCTCCACGCTGGTCAGACGTACAGGTCCTTCCGCCAGCACTGGTTACGGCGCCATAGTGGTGGGATGTTAACCAGAGGTGGGACAAAGTCATTGTTATGCAAGTCCAAGTCGAGTCTGAAGTCATCAAATTCATGACTCGAGTCTGACTCGAGTCCAGGTCACATGACTCGAGTCCACACCTCTGATGTTAACTACCTCGCCCGGAATGCAGGAGGTCGTGGGTTCGATCCCGATCCTGACGCCTGTGTATTATACATGTATTTTTGGAGTTTGCACGTTCTCCCCGTGGTCGTGTGGATTTTTCTCGGGGTCCTCCGGTTTTCCCCTCCACATTTAGAATCTATAAATTTGCACACAATGAGCTATCATTTGTGCCCAAGTCGCTTCTGAAAAAAAAAAGCTGTGTAGTTCAGTGGGCCCTACCTGGTTAAATACAATAAATAGTTAAATAGTTAAAAAAAATTGCAGGGCTGTACCTGTACAGTTCACCTATTATTTTACTTACAAATCATTTACATACAAATTTCGCTGTATAAAGATAACAAAGGAGCAGGCTTAACAAGGCAAGGTGTGCACATGTGTGCCCGTATGATTGTGGTCACATTTTGCCAGGGGAATTTTCTTTTCCAATACCGGGTATTTTTAGTCACAGGTGCACTTGATTAAAATTAATTATCCCCCCCGCTGAAACTCCATATGCCCTAATCCACAGATCAGTGTAATGGCCCAGTTACCGTGACCATGCACTTGAGCAAAATCAGATTTCATGCTGTCTGCGAGAGTGGCTGACAATCAGTGGGCACTTTCGCACTTGTAGAAATCAACGGCATTGACAATACCGGGTTGTGTTGTACATGTGTACATGGGCAGCCCTTTTGTCCATTCACTGCTGGAAAAGGCTCCTTCACGCATTGCAGGCCATGGCGGGGGGGGGGGGGGGTTATTTGACCGTACCGTGGTTAGTGGAGATTGGTTTATGGCGGGTAACATAGACGTGATATCATAGTACAATACAACAATGGATTTTGCTGCACTGCACAACAGCCACAAAGCAAACTGTGGCAACACATGTGTGTGTGTGTGGATTAAAAATATCAGTTTAATAATAACAGCGGGAGGTAAATGAGGTTGCGGACCTTTATTCTCACAGTACGCGTGGGATATTTAGGTTTTTTGTTCCAACAGTGGATTATGCAGATATGTGTGTGAAACTCCCAAACTTGCTGAGCTTGAAATGGTAGTACAAGACAGCAAAGTGGATTCTTGACTCCTCCCTGTATGGAACCTTGCATGTTGTCTCCTTGTGTGTGTATGTGCTTGTTTTTTTCCAGTGGTTATGACACTCCACTATGAACCCGGCCACCCAAGTTCGATTTCCGCTCACGGCCAACACCAGTGACGATTATTTGAACCGGTCCTGAGTCTCCCCTGGGCCAACTCAGCCTCAAATGAGGACCTGTGCCGTGCCGGCCTTCATTGGCGCTCGCCAATAACACTTTCCCCAATAGTCTATGAGGTCTATACGGGGGATCTTTGTCTTTGTGGTGCTGGCCACCCAACCTCATGCCCCGTGCTGGCCTTCATAGGTGCTTGCTAACGACACTTGCTCAAAAGCCTATTAAGGCTATAAGGCGGATCTTTGCTTTCCCAATACTCTGGTTTCCTCTACCATGCAAAACAACGTCTTGTAAAAGAGTCTTTAGACTCAGTGAGGCTCTCCTGGATATTAAAGGGCTTTTTTCCCTAACGATGCTGTTAATAGAGCACTAATAGCAGAGGGAGCGAGTGCTGTTCGCTGGTGGAGATATTGGTTTCACTGCCGGGAAATGTCAGCAGAGGATGTTGGTAAAAATACCCAGTGAACACAGTTAGTGAAGGTCTGTTCCTGCACTAAGTTGGGGATTCTTGTTAATTCCCAATCTAAAGATGAGTTTCTCCTTTAACTTTTAGTGGGAGAATTAGTCAATGGAGTTGGATAATGTTCGTTATTTATCCAGGATAGCCTCACTGAGTTTCAAGTCTTCTTTTCCAGAAGGGTCCTGCACTGGAATGTTTGGTCAATTTCATCGCGATAAGTTTGGTTCGTTTTGTGTCGAAGGCATCTGGGACACCCGGAGAAATCCCGCGTACACAAGCGGGCAACACTCGAAGCTTTCACGGATAACTTCGATAATCCATGGTGGCGAGAGGGGCGGCACGATGGCGAGACGTTAATTTACATTGCCTGGTATACAAGAGGTCATGGGTTCGATCCCGATCCTGACGCCTGTATATTTGGAGTTCGCATGTTCTCCCCGTGGCCGTGTGGATTTTTCTTGGGGTCCTCCGGTGTTTCCCCTCCACGTTTAGAAAGTTGCGTTTGGAGTATTTGGCTGTTATACATGTCCACGTGATAAGCCACTTCGTTGAGCTATCATTTGTGGCCAGGTCGCTTCTGAAAAAAGAGCTACATAGCTCAGTGGGCCTTACCTTGTGGTAATTTTTTTACAAAAAATGTAACGTAATTTTAATCCGTCACTTTGCTACCATTTCATCTGGCAACCTCGCTGCCCTTGCCTCAAGCACCTGCTCATTCCCAGGCAGCCTCCCGCCCTAGTAAACTATTCACCGGCCTCAACCCTGCTTAGCTTGGGATATCTGATGAGATCGGTCGAGTTCGTGGTGATATAATCATAGGCGACTAAAGTAAAATGACATGGTCATCTCAGAAAAGCTATTGAATAATAACTAGAATAATTATATATTTTATGCAATGCATACAGGGTGCAGATAGGGTTGTTATATTTATTTGAACAAATCGCATAGAGCGATTCAATTTATTGTAACCTATGTTCAAACTGACTTAATTAACACTGATGCACGCATGAATGCTCTTTTTTAAAATACATTTAGAACTTAAATCCGTTCAAAAGTGTAATCGTTGAACATTAATCAACTATGTTTCGTTCAAATTTATTTAGGCTTTTTTGTTGAGCCTTATAAACGGATTTGAGGTGACCACACAGGAAGAAAAAAAATGCTAAATCATAATCATGACAGGTAAAATATGAACATCAAGAATAAACAATTAATCTGTTTTAATGCCAGCGCTAAAATAAAGGAAATAACTTTTGAGCCACCCTCTATGATTTCTTGCATTTCTGGTCCATCTGTCATTGCACAAGCCTCCTCAGCTGGACTGGCATGCTGAGATGATTAGTCAATCGGGCACAGTGGGAGCGTCAATAATTGGACGTTTTGAAATATTCAAACTTTGTGGATTCAAATGTTTTTTTTAAATCCACACAGCTTCCTTGCATTAAGCAGAATTCATTAACCTTTTCAGAAAGTGGGGCTAATTGGAGTTAACCGGGAATCAATTTTGAAGCTAGCGGGTGCTAAGATTGTGCATTATACGCGACATATAAACTGAGACAGGGCTAATTGATTTGGATAAGTACATGCAGTTCCGCACACGTGTGCACGCAAGGCGTATGTGTGCAGTGTATTACAATGTCTGTGCTAGGAGAGCTGTGGTTGTTAGTAATTTAGCTTAGTTGCATTGAGAGCACAAGTGCTCTAACCACCGCGCCACCACTCACCACTTAAAAACAGCACGTGACCTCAGCATTTGAAACCGCGTGGCTACCCAGTGTACGCAAGAATTATGTAATTTCATGACCTTTAATTATTCCTCCACCCAGTCTGGCAGACCGAGGGTTCGGTCCACTCCACTGACCATTTCGTTTCATCCCCACCATGTCGAAGCACCACTCTGCAGGCCACAACGCTTCTCTCTTCACTTCGTCAAACTCGCACCGCTTCACGTTAGAATCCCCCAACATCATCGTCCCTTTTCCCCAAGTTCTCATAATAATCTTTCTCCATTCAGGAACGGGTTTTTCCCGTTTGCAAGCCGGTGCAGCGTACATCTTGTGCCGCAAAGGGACAGCTGCTACTGGGGGTCCTCTAGGCTAGACTGCAGCATGACATTGGGATGGTTGTGATGAGATGTGATTGTAAGGCTCTTTTAGCTGCTGGGGCATTTAAGTGCCCTATAAATGCAAACCCTTGTGCTTAAATCTTATATCCACAACCGTGCTGTTTGTTGCCGGCTGCTTGGCTGCCTCTAGGCTCGTGCTCAGCAGCCATCATTTAAAATATAAACAACGGCAGCCAGGGTCGTAATCCACAATGAGCGGCCGTTTTAATAGCGTCCGCCTCTGTCCTCCGCAGGGTTTTACGAGCTGAGCGACGCGGGAACGGGCTCGCTCTCCACCTCCTGCAACTCGGTGTTCAGCGACCTCGTGCCCAGCCCGTGCCTGGGGTCCGCCCGGGGTCTGCCAAGCCTGGGTCCGTCCCGGGGGTCGCCCGCCCAGGGGTCCCCGTGCCCGAGCCAAACGATCACGGAGCTGCAGGCGGCGGCGTCAGAACGGCGGCCGCTGTCTACAGGTAAGCGGTGCCCCGCGGCGCGTTGCAACTAAGCTCGGCAGAAAACGAACCGCGCGACACATCTGAGTGATTGATGGCGCCCGAAATGTGAAATTCCAAGCCGTACGTGTGATTTGTACCCTCCTCCACGTGCAATGGGATTGCTCTTTTAGGTGACCTGAAGAGGCTGGCAGAAGAAGACGTGAACGGTACCTCCACTGCCCCAGACGGGAAGGTCAGACGCTCAGCTTCGGAGCACGGCTCCGTTCCAGCGCCGCCGCCGCCGCTATCGCCCCCCCGGCTCACCGTCCTGGACTCGGCCGAGCCGGGGGCGCCCTCTGCCCACCCAGCAATGACGCCCGACACCCGGAGCCACGTCCACGGCACCTCGGAGGACACCACCGAGCGACTCGACGGATTCATCCGGGACCTGATCGAGCGCCGGGGCGACGGGCGCCGCTTCAAGTCTCCCGGCAAAGCTCGTCCGATATCGACGACCGCGTCCATCAACGGCGCTGACCGCCACCTCCGGCACGGCAAAGCGCAGCAGTCCGGCGCGTCAAGCGTGCGTGGCGATGCCGCTCTGCCCATTACGAAGCAGCAGCAGCAGCCGACGGCGCAGGAGGCGACGCGCACCGCCCCGTGCGACAACGGCGCGGGCGACGATCGGCGACCGGGCGGCAGTGGCGCAGCCGAGGCAGTCGAAGGCTCGCTCAAGGAACCGAGGGCTCACGTCGCAGATACGATGAAGGTCGGCTGCCTGGCCGCTCCCTTGCCACCACTGCCGCCGCCGCCGCCTCCCGTGATGATGGCGATCCCCGAAGAGCAGCAGCCCCCGAAGGCGGAAAAGATTGTCAAGTTCGCCAAGACGAGCCGCTGCAGGGAGCCTAGCGGGAGGGCCGAGCTGCACGTGAACTCTGAACCCAGGACGGACGAGGGAAAGGGAGGCAGGCAGGCGCCCGCCAAGCGCTGCCGTTTCAGCGAGGACGTGGAGATCATCCGTGACTGCCGGCGGGCAGAGGGCGACAGCGGCGGTCGGCGGCGACGGTGGCGGGCGGCAAGGCGTGCCGCTCGCAGTCGGACAACAGCATCGTGGGGCGGCATGGGCGCAGGACGCAGCCGGCGGGAGAAGCGTCCGGTAGGAGGAAGGACGTCGCGGCCGCGGCGTCCGGAGCGATGGCCGCGGCCGCTGCAGCTGCCACGACCACTGCGCCGCCCTTGACGGGGACTCCGCAGGTTCAGCAGCGGCAGCGGAGGCTGAGCTCGCACAGGCGCTGGCGGTCGACGGTCGAAATCTGCCAGGGGGCGGCGGAGAGGGGCCTCGGTCTGCCCTCGCCCGCCACGGCCGCCCAGCCGCAGTGGTCAGGCCATGCCACCGTGGGGCAGGTGGTGACGTCGGTGGCGGTGGCGCAGAGACCGGCGACCGTGGGAGGGCAGGTCGGTGGCTATGGCACGGCCGGTCGGGCGGGCGTCCGTCGAGCATCGCGCCGGGAAGCCGTCTGGCTGCAAAAGCAGCAATCGGCAACTCGGCCATTTTCAGCCACAATGGGGGCGGCACGGAGGCCCATGCCGGTGATGGTGCCAGTAGCGCCGGCGGCGGTGGTGGGCGGAGGAGCGCGACACGGATCGCAGCGCCTCGTCGAAAGTGACTCGGAGTACTCAGCTGAGTGCGAGTCGCTCTTCCGCACCAGGTGAGTAGGCGCATTGCTTGGCCCTCTGGTCATCTCGGGCACCATGGGGGCGAGATGTTAACTACCTCACCTGGTATACAGGAGGTTGTGGGTTTGATCCTGACCCTGACGCCTGTTTATTTGGAATTTGGGTGTCTCTCTCTCTCCGTGGTGGCGTGGTATTTCTCTGGGTCCTCCAGTTTTTCCTTCCACATTTAGAAACATACATTTGGAGTATTTGGCTGCTGTAAATGTCCATGTGATAAGCCACTTCGTTGAGCTACCATTTGTGGCCAGGTCGCTTCTGAAAGGAGCTGTATAGCTCAGTGGGCCTTGTAAAAACAAGTTGTTTTTTTGCTATTAAGCATGATTGGCCAAAAATATCGCCTTTTGCATAGGTTTACCTGTTTAGGGCAATTATTCTTATTTTATACTCTCTGGTGCTTTCGGTAAAGTCACGTAGATAGAAGAAAATGTAATTTTATTATTATTTTTCTATCTATGGGCCTTCACGGAAAGACCCAAATAATAGGAATTCCTGCAGTCATGAAAGCTTTAAGTCAAGATTTAGGGTAATCTTATTGACGAATATTATTTGTCCTGCTCGGGCAACAGTAGAGATTAATTATTGAACATTTCTTGAATTGCCACCTCTTTCTCGGGGGAGTGAGATTGGAGTTTAAATTGAGGGCCCTTATTGAGCGGCCAGAATGGGACCCATGAGGGCTGTTTATTAGGGCGAGCGTGGCATGCGGCTCGATTTCTCCATCCAAATGTTGTGGGGGGCAGCTGCTATCTGCCCTCTGCCCCCAGTGTTCCGGAACCAAGACCGCTTTTATATGAGAAAAGTAACCTGATTGTGTAATCCATTAAAAGGTACAGTCGTTTATAGTCGCCTGTTTCCTCAATCGTAAGACGAGCCAATTGGAATGAAGCAAGTATGAACTCATGAAGGTATCAACACTTTTGTATGAAACGATATAGTCTACATGAGGTTAGATACTTGGTTGTGCATTGAATCATAGGGTTTGCAAGGGCGAACTGGGAAACACAAACTTTAATTGCACAAAAATAGACAGGAAGGGGCAAGGAAATACAGTGCAAAAGCGATTTGTGCGAAACTAAATTCCGGCAGTTCCGGAAAGAGCAGCACGGTAGGCTACGTATGGTACGAAACAAGTTCAATATAGATACGTAAATATATTTACGTTGCTGAAACAGTTTCATTGCAATTGCTGATCGGTTTACACAAAATAAATGGTGCGGACCGCCACTATAGATCTGATAAGCAAGCTTTAAACTAAGTGAACATTTATAATATGAGTACCAAAAGGAATGTGTATCCCTTTGTCGCGATGGAGTGTGTCGATCGGCACTGGGTCTGAGTTTTGGTTGAAATGAGTGGTACAGTGATCAGCACAATGCGCTATGAACCCGGCGACCCGAGTTGGATTGCTGGCCACAACTATAACAACATTGCCCAGTGTGCACCGGCCATCTGGAACTCTCCCCCACTGTTCGTATAGGAGCATCCAAGCACCTCCAAGGTTCGCCTGTGCAGGCTTCGTCCAGGGCCCATTCAGGCCCTCGCCCATCCAGGGCCCTTGCAGGACTTCACCCGTGCTGTAAAAAACAAGCTCTTAAAATAACACAATAGTTACATTGTACAGAATGGCATTATCGGTATACTTGCCAATGAGAATGAAACGTTAAGACTGCTTCATTTTGTTGTTATTTTTATCTGAATGGACCGTAGTGTTCCATCATCGCTATTTATACGCCTTCGAAGATGTGAAAGCGGCTATGAATTTAGATTTTTCATCCATTCCGAGCCCGTCACGGCTGTTGATTCACAGCGCTGCCCAATGCGGTCGCACAGTCACCGCTGCTGTTCTCGACGCGCCGTCAAATCCCACGCGAAGTGTTGAGACGAGTTACTTGGGTTGCGAAAGACGTGAGCTCACGCCGCGCGATAGATACACAAAGCCTCGTTTTAAGCAGTCAGCCCATTGGTCAAAAGCGTCACTTGGCGAATTCGCTACGACTGAACAACACACTGTTAGTTATTTCACATTAGGGGGCTATTCTTTTCAGAAGGCTTCATTTACGTGAAGCATCAATGTTGCCAAGTATGTCTACTTCTATTTGAAGGCCTCTCCTCACACCATCACCAGAACGTACGGTCTTGTGAAGCCACGATCTATCTCGTTCCTGTCATGCAGTGTATGTATGCATTTTGAACTTATGTTGCACCGTACGTAGCCAACCGCGCGAATCGGAGGTGCGGAGGAAGGACAACAAACTAAACCCAAAAAGCAGTTCTAAAGAATTAGTTTAAAATTCATAATTAAAAAATGCACAGCTCCAATGGCTTCATAATATCGGAAGGAAGAGCGTTCCAGACGGCCGCAGAAGCCTGCGATGTGGTGACCGTCTTTGTTCGATGGCCGGCTCAAAAAATATATCTGACAGCTCCTTATCTGCAGGAGTCATCCTCACTGTCAGCGCCCGAGTCTACTGTCCATTGTACGACCTCGTGATGTGTCCTGCCCATGCCCACATATTTCCACTTTTTCAGTCATTCCACAGTAGTTCTTACGAGATCTGCTACGTTCTGAAATGATCCTGTTCAGAACATACCACGTTGTTTGCATTACCAATAGGTGGAGAGGTGGCACAGTGGTTAATGCACTGCTCGATGAACCCGTTGACCTAAATTATTTTTTCGCCACATGGCTAACATCAGTGGCGAGTGATATACGAACCCATCCTGGGCTTCCAGGCTTCACCGAGCCACACTCGTTAGCATGGTGAAGTATGTTCGAACAACTCACGTGACCAACACGGAATGGAAAAAGCCTTCATTAAGCAGTGGATTGATAAAGGCTCTTGTGTAGACTAAAAGGAGAGATACGTCTAATCCTGATCTTTTTTGAAATGCATTTCCTATTGTTTGTTCTGAGTGAAACTTAAGCATATCACAAACCCCCTTTCATCTAACGATAAAGAAAATATTATCAGAGGACACGGTCAGAGATATGGAACCTCAAAAAGTTGTTCTACCACGAGCCACTTCCCACTCAAATGAACCTTACTCACAAGTCACAACTCCTAACAGATTCTGATAAGAATAAACATTTTGATTACGAGTCAGAGTTATATCTACGGGGTCGCCTTTTGGCGTTCTCTGATCTAGCACTGGTGAGACAAGGCTGGAAAGAAGTCTGTCTCTGGTGTAGACCAATCAGTTTAAAATACAATGCACATATTAGAGCATTTTTGTTGGCATGTTTTGCCACAAGACTCGATGCGTTGAATGAAGTAGGTTTCTATTTGATGTTTGAACACCTTAACACCTGTTTTATTGCCAGAAAGGGTGAAGCCTATTCTTATTTTCTGAGACCGAGTTAATTTAAATCAATTCAACTCCGCTCGTAGTCTCACATCATCGTGCAAACGCAGCCGTGTAAGGAAATCTCCGGCAGCAGAGTGGACCACTGCTCGCTTGGCACTGAACGAGGAAGAAGTAATTTAAACCACGACTCCTAACTCGCATCCCAGTCATCCTCGCTACTCGTGACTTTTGTCTAACCATCGAAGAGAGACGGTCACCACATCGGTTCGTATATCACTCGCCGCTGATGTTAGCCATGTGCCGAATATAGAATTCAGGTCAACGGGTTCACAGAGCAGTACACTAACCACTGCGCAACCGCTCCACCTATTGGTTAAGTAAACAATGTGGTTTGTTCTGAACAGGATCATTTCAGAACGTAGCAGATCTCGTAAGAACTACTGTGGAATGACTGAAAAAGTGGAAATACGTGGTCATGGGCAGGACACATCACGAGGTCGTACAATGGACAGTAGACTCGAGCGCTGACAGTGAGGATGACTACTGAAGATAAGGAACAGTCAGATATTGTTTTGGCTGGCAATCAAATAAAGACGATCACCGCATCGCGAGCTTTCAGATGCGCTTCTGCGGCCGTCTGGAACCTTCTTCCTTCAGATATTTGGAAGCCACTGGGAGCTACCCACTTTAAAATATAAATTGAAAACTAATTTTTTTAGAACTGCTTTATGTGCGTTAGTTTGTTGTCCTTCCCCCCACACCTCCGATTAGTACGGTTGGCCACTTACGGTGCGGAAGAAGTTCAACACACGTACACATGTATACATCCCCCTTCTGTCCCCATCCCCTATCCTCGCAGCTTCGGAGCCACGGGCTCGAGTGACGACGACGACGATGACGACGACCGTGACGAGGAAGACACGGACTGCGACGTTGACGACGCGGAAGACGCCCGTGGCGGCGGCGGCGGCGACACAGTGGGCCCGGCGGACGTCGCCGAAGGGGGCGGCCGCGCGGAGCCCGCCCTCACCGGCTCCACCGCCACATCCTCCTCCATCTCCTCCTCCTCCTTCTTCTCGTCCTCTTCGTCGTCGTCGTCAGACGGACCCCGCGCCGGCGGCCTCGTGTGGCCCACGTACCGCCAGGGCTGCGGCGGGCGGCCCGGCGGGGGCCCTCCGGGGCCGTCCGGGCAGGCCCCGCAGGCGACGGCCGCGACCGCGGCCGCCACGGCGTCGGCGGCCGCGGCGGCGGCGGCGGCCGCGGCGGCGGCCGAGGGCTGCGTCCCCCAGGCTCAGATCTGCCGCAT